TATGCTTTTACATAGATTATATCATATTGTAATAACCCTCTGAATATTGTATCCTACTATAACACTCTGAGTTCCTGAATTGTTTCTGAATTGACATTCTGCATTGTTTCACACGATATATTTTTCATAGCTATCTCTGTTGATACTTATGATGCCATTCTTTTTAATTACCACATGTATTGCAACATATAAACACAGTACATTTTTTAGACATTCTGTCCATTGATGGGTATTTCAATTGTTTCCAGTATTTCATTATTCAAAAAATGCTGCTGTGAACACCCATAAAATGATTCCTCCTACAAACGTGCAAGTATTTGTCTAGGATAGATAATTAGAAATGGACTTTCTGTGTCATGGGTCACACACACTTTCGGTTTTAATCCTTAGTCTCAATCCTCCAAAGAGTGCTAACGTGTGAGATTGCCTAGTTCCCCACATCCTCATCAATACTTGATATTATCAGCCAATAAAATATTGCAAATCTGATTGGAAGGAAGCAGTATCACATTTTTCTGCTCCTGTTTAATAGTGAGGTTGGGCATCTTCTAATAGGTTTGTTTACTGGACATTTGCAATTTATTCTCTGAGAACTGCGTGTTCATATTTTTTGCCTGTTTCCTCTATTTTTCTATGACTGTTTTTTCTTGTTATTTATATTATACATTTACATTATATTGTTATTAGTATTATTATTTATATAGTCTGCAAACTTTCAGTTTTATGTAGTGCTCAATGTGGCTTTTAATATTAACATTCTTTCAAGGAGAAAGATGACCCCGAGCTTGCTGATATCAGAAAACAACCCACACCCGGCGTGTAACAACCAACCAATGCCAGCATTGTTTCCTTGCAGCTTTAGCGTCACTTGAGGAATTGAAAAATAATTAGAAATCTAGCAAGTAGCTTCCTTCAGTTTCTATCCCTCCACTTCTCCTCCTCCAGAAGGTTAAACGGGCAGCTGCCAGGAAAATCTCCTCTCCCTGAACAACAAAATTATTATGACAAAAGCAGAGTTATCTGAATGGGGACCAAGCAGTATTTCATCAGTGTCATCCCCTGCCACTGGTTTCCTCATCCTCTTCCGCTGAACACGTCCAAGAGTCTTGTTTACATGTCAGAGGGAGACGTCAGATGGTTTTGAGTTGAATATTTATAACTGATTTTTCTAAAGGAAGCTTCATGTTATTTACCTGCCTGTCAGGCGCCATTGTGCACTGAAGGACACAGAGTCTGCATGTCTAATGATTTAAAGGCAAATGCTTTTTACCCAAGGACATTTTCAACCTTAAATATAAAAAAAAAAAAAAAAAAAAAAAAAAGGTGCTAGGCTATACTGATTCTTCAGAAACAAAGACCCAACTAAAAGTTGTCAGGCATAAACTCTAATTATAAATTAAGTATGTTTTCATCTTATCCCTATTACTGCTTGATTTTTTTTTTTTTTATGGAGATCAAGAGTAAAGGAAACTAAGTATCTTTCCCAGAGGCAATATTCCTGTTCTCTCAGCCTTGTCATCTAGGAAGAAGTAAAACAAAGGAAAAAGGTAGACTAAGTGACTGAAAAACCTTACAGGCCCAGAAAGGATAATTGATTCTTAAGTCTGGTTTATCCAAAGTTTGACTTTTAATTGTAGAAATAAATACATACAAAAGATCATATGAAATATGACTTCAATGTAATGAGATCAGCTTGCTATTGATTTTGCTTTTAAGCAAACAGACCAAATGTTATCACAGCCCAGGAGCACTGTCCTTCAAAGCAATAACCTTGGAAGAGTGTATGATAATTCAGTGTATGTGACAATTGCTTAAAACATTTTTCAGACTCCCTTTGGACCTGCCTTTAGAACCAGTTTACACACCCACCAGAAAATGGCTCATTACTTTGTAATCACACCACACTGAGGGTGCCTGGTTTAATCACCCCTCTCTCACCAGAACAAACAAACAAACAAACACCAATCAAATCCAACCTCAAAGGATGAATAATGAATATTTGTTATGCATAAAAGAATCAAAAGAATGACCTGCCCCTGGCACTGGTGGCAATTTGCATTGACCGTGGTAATCACATTTTGACAAATCACAGGAAATGATTTTACAAGAATACACTTGTTTGGTGGCCTATGTCTAATAAATATATCATTTTTAGTTAGCAGTTGCACCTCACAAACACTCCCACGTTAGCAGGTGGGTACCTCCAGGTTTCTTCCTTCAGCCCAGGACCTGAACCTCGAGCATCCCAGTTTCTCTACAGGGTATTGTGACAGTGCTCGGTTTCCTGTGTGCTCTGCTTCCTCTAGCTCAACCCCAATCTCTTAACTCTTAGCCACGGATCCACTGATTGGTTCACGCTGATCTCATTCATGCATCTCCAGCAAATGATTTAGCATGCTCTTCACCTTCTCTTTGCCTTAAATCCTGACTCGGCTAGTTCCCAAACAGAAGCCAGAGGCCAGACTGGGGACGGGGTGGGGAGAATAGAGCCAGAATCTGAACTGGCAGTTATAAGAAGAGGAAAGTTTCAAGGCCTGAATTCCTCCCTTTCTACTCAGAGGCATTCAGGGTTCCATCCGCCTGGCTAATAGGAGATAATGTCAGTGGGAATTTAGTGGGCTTGGGTTACACTATGCTCTGTAAGTTAATACAACAATGGAGTACACAGCTGTAATGGGCTATTCTGGCAAGGCCAAATCATTTGTCCAACATGGGAATCATTAGCACCTCATCCATTATTAAACTGGAAAGCAGTTTGGTTGGATTCCCTAAAGGGTCAGCTGCCAGATGTAAGCTCAGAAATGAAATCATCGTGCTCTTACAAGGATATTTCTTTAGGAATTTAATATACAAATTGAATAAAGGACCTTTCAAGGAAATTAAAGCCATGTGAATTCCAAGAGTTTGTCTAAGCTTCCACAGTTGAGTAAAATTTCGAAAGAACTTTCCCAATGCTCTCCTGTACCCTACGTCTTCCTAATTGGATATGAGGAGGAGGAAAAATTCCATTGCATTTGCCATCCAAAATTATACCAGAGACTAAACAGGTGTGCAGATCAGGATCTATGGAAAAATTTCTCCAGGCTCTAGTAGATGAGCCCCATGTAAGTGAGGTTGATGGACTCCATCCCACGTGAAGGTGATACGAAACCAAGTTTCTCAAACAGTCACCAGCCCACAGATGCCTGAGGAACATAGAGGGGTCAACTTCATGCTGCAGAATTAAAATCTTCCTTCGGATGTGGAAAAACAAACAAACAAAAAAACCAAAGTTGGGGGTCTAAGACAAAGTTTTGAATTTGCACCTTCATGAACTAAACATTCCTCTGAGACGCTGAGATGTCTCTTAATACAACACTTGGTTGGTTGGGACCCCGTAGCTGTCGTGCCACAAAATTCTTATTTTACACCCCCACTGGTTTTGCCTACAATTTTCCATGGCCCAAGTTTCTACAGCTATAGGGCAACCAGCCAGGTATGTACTGGCTCTCAGCCATAGTCTGTGTCACACCAAACAATACATGTTTGTTTGGAACACAGCCCTGGAACATCTTTAAAACTGTCAGAAGGAAGGCCTGTTCTTTATTTTTTATTTTTTTTTTTCAGTAAATATAACCTTTAATCCAGCAGAAAAAAAAAATCAGTCTATCAAATGGAAAGTGAAAAAAAGGAGGAAACAATGTACATTAAACATAAAATAAGAAATGACTTGCAAAAATAAATCTCAATATATTAGCAGTTAGGCCTGTTCTTTAAAGCACAAGGAATGTCACACAGAATCTAACCTAAGCTCCGTGCAATTGTCAGGAGCACAGAGCACACACACGTCATAAGGCACTCAATACTTGCTTGCTGGGAAAATCCACCTCAAGAACACGAACACAACAAAAGTAAGGGCAATGTGAACCTTCCTGGTGTATCACAGCACAATTCTTGTTAGTTTCTTCTACGGTGTTCCCCACGTCTGTTTGAATACATGCATTAGCTCCTACCTTTGCATAGCGTACTTTGGATTTCTACAGTTCCCCTTTACTATTGCAAACAAAGGCAAAATCTTAATATAGGCCTTTTGCATAGTCTGCGGGCAGAGGTATTTCTTCCAGATTTTAATCTTCCCAAACAAAAAGGAGGAGGGGAAAAAGCCAGCCGATCTGCAATCCACACCGAGACACGTGCATGTGCTCAGATTCATTCTAGGGATTTGTCTAGCAAATACTCAAGGGAGAAAGCACATATTGGTTTTGGAAACCAGTTTGGTGAGATGTACCAAGCATACAGGTTTCCAAAAATGAAAGCATTGGTATTTCTAGATCCAATGAGATCTTTAAAATTCATAAAATATAAAATATAAAGAGAATAATAGCCCCCAAACCACGTTTGCCATGTTTGCTTCCAATTTTTTTTAAACAAAATATTTTACAGAGTTGTAGTCTCTTCTTTACCCTTCCCTGAAAATATCTCTCACTCAACCAGCCTCTTCAGAGGTAACCACCATCTGGAAATTGGTATATTTCCTTTCCTTCCATTTTTTATTACATAGTCACAGTCATGTATCCATAAACAAAACATAGTATTATCTTGCCACACAATTTAAATGTACGTAAATACACAGATACATTTGTGTTTTTCATGCAGGCTTTAAGGAGTCAGTTTTGTTTGTTCATTTTTTTAATGACAAAAAAATGAAAAGATATCCAAATCTACTGAATTCATCTATAATACTGGGCCTGATTAGTCAAATCAGACTTTCAAAGTAATAAAATATTTTAATGGCTATGCCATTTTTCATATAAGAATAACTTCTTGCATTGTTGTTTTTTTTGTTTTGTTTTGTTTTGTTTTCTTTTTTTGTTTTTGTCTACTGATAAAATCACTGATCAAATAAACTTCCATGAGCACAATAAAGAAATTTCGTTTGGGTTCATTGTCATAGTCAATCTAGTGAGTTGGTCATTTAAATTTTTATCTGCAATTGACTTTTAAGTAGATCTGGTATTTACCTGACAGAATCAGGAGTTCAATGATCTCTGCATCTCCCAGAAACGCAGCCACATGAAGCGGGGTTCTCTTCTCAGAATCCTGAAACAGCGGCAAAGATAAACAAGTCAGTGGAGGCCGGAGGTGCCTTTTGTAGACACAGTCAGACATGTCACTTACTCTGAGGTTAATGTTTGTGGGGAGAATGAAGGCCAAAACCTACTCAGGTGAGCTCTGGTTCCACATTTCTCTCAGCGTCTCCCACAGTCACACGTACAAAAGATCCCGTTCTGGGTCTGTGTGTTGCATTTGTGTCCCTGCTCCTTTTATTGGAGCCCAGCTCAGGTCAGGGATGGACTATCGTGCAATGGATGATGACATTCAATTTATTTTCAGACCTTCGTTATGGCAAAAGAGAAAAAACTCAAACCCTTCTACCTACTGTAATAGCAGTGTTCAAAGCATACAATGATTTCTTTCAAAGCGAACATAGAATTGTTCTCAAGGACATTAAATATAAGTACAGTCACTTTCTCCTTTCCATCTCTATTAACTGCTGCCTGGTTCGCTGCCCATTCATGTAACACATAATGAGTGCCTACTGTGTGCCAGGAACCAGATTTTGGGTTCAGTCCCTGTCCTTGTGAAATTTACATTCAAATGGGGAGGCTGCCAATAGTCCTGGAAACCAGTTACAAGACAACACTTCAGATGGTGATAAAGGCTGTAACAAAACTAAAACAGGGTAATGGGATCCCGTGACTGGCGTGATGGGAACAAGATTCCTCAGAATCATGGAATAAGGCCTTTCTGAAAATATTGACATTGAAGCCGAGAGCTGAGGTAAATACCATTATCTCTGTTTTACAGATGAGAAAACTGTGGCTCAAATAAATTAAGAAATTTCCTCCAGACCCCACAGGTATATAGCAGAGCCAAGGCTGGACTTTTGCCTGTCAGACTCCATTCTAAGTCCATGGCAAAGCATTTAACATATTGTGTTGTTAAGATGATAAAATGCAGCGGAAAAAAATATTGCTTCTCCATCTGTAAACTGGAGGATGTGATGAGAGAATTCAAGACAATGTAAGTAAATAGAGCCCTAGGCAGGCATGAAGCTTGGCCTGTGCATGCCATGAGTTCCAGGCAAAGCTATCTTCGTCATGAGCATAGATGGTTGTGTGATATCTCCCCTCCAAGACCAAGAATTCCACAAGGTAAAGAACTTGCTCCCTTTATCCCCACAGTAGCGGCCAACTAGACGCTCAGCGTAAATTGGCCAAATTGAACCAGTCTACGTGCGTTGCGTCTTCTACAAACTTCCATTGATTGCTCCACGACAGTAATCAAAGTTTGTATGCTGTGTATTGGAGGTTTCCCCTAAAACCAGCATGCATTTTAGTTTCAAGATTTGTGAAGTTGCTGTTGGTTTTAATCATTGTTCCTATTATCACTTGATGATACAACCTACCCAACCACCCTTGGATTTGCCCAAGGACACGATTCTGTTTTCTGACAATTCAGACCCTCTGCTCCTTCTCAGTCTCTTTCAGACTACTGCTTTTAGGCATTTTGTGACTCACTAATATCTAAAACAGATGGCAGGCAGGGGACATGACAAAAACTGATGTTCAAACCAGTCTATATGTTAGGAGGTTTGGGAAATAGGTTTTATAAAGGGTTGGACTAACTCTTAAGTGGGTAAAAAGAGGGGTCTGAATTAGCTGGGAATTTATGTTTCCTATGTATGTTGCAGGCAATTATTACTGATAAGTGGAAATAGGACAGTCATGTAACTATTCCATATAAAGTAAGGGTATGCTGTAGAAAATTCAGAAAGCTATATAACCATGGTTAACCCTCTTAGTTATACCATCCTTTCCATGAAAATAGAGATTCAGTATTTGAAACCTGAAAAATATCTCAAGTGTATTAATTTGTGCAAAGAGCTACACTAAGAACTGAGACTAGACTTTCACAAATGCTTTCCATTTCTTTTTCTTCTACTGTTATCTCTACAAGCATTTTCCATCTTAGCCTCACCTCTTTGAATCCCTGCTGTGACTATAAAACATTTTTCTTGAGTCTTGTGACAAAAGTTACATAATTATATGTTCTTCTGTGAACTGAACGGGTTCCAGGGTTTGGTTCAACAAATTAAACCTTACCTAAGTGACTTAAACAAGGACTAACCCGGTCTAAAGTATGACTTCATTTGACCTGAAGCAAAGTCAATGCTCTGTGTGAGAGCTTGGCCTCAAATAAAAAATCAAGAAAACCCCAATATCTAAAACTGTTTGGCCTGTCATTATAAGACTGGCTTTGCTGATTCTGTGGCCCCTTTTATGACATGGCTTGTTCAAACTGAAGTTTTTAGAATATAAAATAGATGTGTTACATGAGATCATATTGTAAAAATGCTGGGTTGCAAATACCAGTGTTCCTGTTGAAATGTATTTAAAGGTTTCCTGTAGCTTCCAGAACAACTATACCGATTGATACTCTCCTTCAGTGACATGCCACAGACAGGTAACTGCAGAGAAGACCTGTATTCCGGCAGCAGGTCTTTGGTTCTCTAAAGCATCAGAACTAGATAAACAATTTCATGTGCTATTAAGATCTTAACTAAAATAACAAATCATGTCCACTATTGACCAAGGGTCACCAACACCAGCTCTCTGGCGGGAACCTGAATGATATACAGGGTCCTGAGCTGAGAGGTAAATAAGAGAGCCACAGGGGCGCCTGGGTGGCGCAGTCGGTTAAGCGTCCGACTTCAGCCAGGTCACGATCTCGCGGTCCGTGAGTTCGAGCCCCGCGTCGGGCTCTGGGCTGATGGCTCGGAACCTGGAGCCTGTTTCCGATTCTGTGTCTCCCTCTCTCTCTCTGCCCCTCCCCTGTTCATGCTCTGTCACTCTCTGTCCCAAAAATAAATAAACGTTGAAAAAAAAAAAAAAAAAGAGAGAGCCACAGTACTCACCAAACTCAATCAGGTAAAATCAGCTCAGAGGCTGCAGTTCATCCTCTGCCTAAGTATAAGGCTGCTCTACTTTGCCACAAGCTAGACAATTGGACAAGAAGATGTGATGGTAGGAGAAGGAAGGAAAAGGGTCTGGGGAAAACATTAGACTAGCAATAATACTAGAAAAACATGTTCTAGGCCAATGATACTCCTAGAGTATCTAAAAACAAAACCTAATTACAGAGTGCTTTAATTTTTTTTTTTTTTCAAAATGCCTTTTAATCTATTCTACTACTTGAATCTCATAACATCCCTATCGGGGAGACATGCCTTTCAGAATCATGTTGTTAAGCCTTATTATCGTCATTTGAAAGCTATGATGTTTTAGATTGAAAAGCTAGGGACTCTGAGCATTCTGTATGACTTGCCCAACACTCGGGGATAGGAGATGAGGTGAAGAATTAGAACTGACCCTCACAGAGAGAGAAACCCTTGCAGTGGTCTTGAAGAAAGATTCTTGAAATAAGTTGATGTTGAAAAAAGGCCAAACATGCTCACAGGTAAATGGAAGAGCAATGCCTTGGCCTAGACTCTTGGTGGGGGAATAAAAGTATCTCCTCTGAGCATTCCCACAATTTACCCTGATGTGGTTTGGAGTTTTGAATTCACAATACTTGCGTATTCCAGGAAATTTCAAGCTGAAAAACAGGCATAAAATTGGTTCTAGGTTTAGGACATCCTTAGGGTGACAAGAAGAAACAAGACCTCTCTGGAGGGATGTGTCCTCAATAAAAGCAACAACAGACACCCACAGTTGAGCCACCCCCGAAGATGAGCTCACAAGCCTAAGCCACAAGACCCATGTGGAAACAATTAAATATAACCAAGAATCAGCAGGCACAACAACCAGCGAGAACTTGAGATAACAGAAGAATCAGATAAACATATGAGTAGTGTTTAAAATAATTTAAGATGTAAAAGGCAAGGCCCAAGAAGAAAAAAAAACATTATTTTTTTTTAATGAACAAAATTTGGGGGAGAAGTGTGCAGGAAGAGTTTCAGGAAGTAGTATAAACACATGATGCTGCCAATCATCTAAAGCTCTGGACTAAGACAGATGAAAACAAGAAGGGTAAACAAGAAGGAAAGGAGAAGAAAAAATAAGGACAGTGACTTTGGGGTATGTTTTACAATCATTTTTCAGCCATATTTTCTAGACATAGACCTTTAGTTGAGAAGTTATTATACCCCAGATATTGTGGTGGATGTTAAGAATGCAAATGAAAAACATCCAGGCCTTGCCCTAAAGAAACTTACAACCCAGTTACCAGTTTCCGTATCTAGGACATTAGAATAAAAATAAGAAGCAAGTGGCAATTAGTGACACTTGTGATGTTCAATGATTTGTGAAAATTACCATAAGTGATGAGACTAATGTCTTAGTGAATACTGCCCTGAAACCCACCCCATTCTGAACTGCCCTGGGCAGCAAATCTAAACTGACAAGAGAAAAATCACTTCTGAATTGGGAAATAAGCACATTTTGCCCAGGGCTCTCTAGAAACCGTACTGGCTCCAGTTTACCTAGGAACTTCAGAAACCCAGGGAGAGACTTTCACTTTAGCCACAGAGCCCAGCCTATATCTTACAGGGCTGACTTAGGGATCTTTTCTGGATCAAAGTTAGAATCGAGGACCAGGTCAGGACCAGAGAGGAACGTTCAGATATAGTGGCTGAGCTAAGTGTTCTGCTTCATTTGCATTCACTGACACCTGGTCCTCAAGTGGATGTTCCACAATGACCAAGAGTTGATGGATGGTCATTGTGGTCTTTCCAACACTAATCATACAAAAGGAGAAAATAATGCAAAAGCAACCACAGTAAATTCAACACACATTGGAAATGACTCATCGGTGACTTATCCACACTGACAGCACAGAGCCCGATGTGAGCTCAAACTCACGAACAGTGAGCTTGCAACCTGAGCCAAAGTTGGACACTTAACTGACTGAGCCACCCAGGTGCCCCACATCAGTGTATTTTTTAAAAGATTGTTCAAGTATCACAAAAAAAAAAACCTTTTCCCATTAACCAGTAGCTCCGATTCCAAATAGCCTTTTGAAAACAGATTTGTAGCCAT